ATCATAGCTGGATGATCGTCATACTCGATTCCGAATGACAACAAAGTAGTAGTAGTAAGGATAGTATGGTCGAACGGCTTATGAGGACGGAGGAGCTGCTGATGGGTGAAACTTGTAAAGGACGACAAAGTAATAGTCTTACAGTTTGGGGCGTAGAGAATTTTTAGATGTTCTATATATGCTTGATGACTGAAAGGAGCTTAAGCCGTAATGTGTTTCTGATAACATACACTCTGTACGCAGTAAGAATTCGCTCTTTTATTCTATTCTTCATTCATAAATAAACATTAATTTAGCAGCGGAAAATAATAGGGTTTCACCCGCCTGTGATATCAGGTCCTTTGATAAATGTTTTCAAAAGTATTAACAAGGAACACCAAAATGTACACATAAGAACATAAGAATGGAGGAAACTGCAGTGGGTCTACAGTATTGACCCATAATGGGTAGTCTCGCCCACACCCAACCCCTATCTCTCATATATCCACCCAACCTGTGTTTGAAGCTATCCAGCGTATTAGAGTTAATGATAATGTTTGGTAACTTATCTACTCGTCCACTACTCTATTACCAACCCAGTGTTTGCCTATCTCTCGCTTAATCTAAATTCGTTTAATTTAAAAACATTGCTACGAGTTCGTTCCTGGTTGGGTAATTTAATTACCTTTGTTATATCACCTTTGTTTAACCCTGACTTCTATTTATACACCTCAGTCATTTCGCCCCTCACTCTACGTCTCTCGAGGGAGTGGCAAATCTCAGATACTTTAATCTGTCTCCATACTCAAGGTTCTTTATGCCCGGGATTAGTCTTGTCATCCTCCTCTATATGTTTTATAGGGATTCTTTATCCATTCTATAATATGGTGGCCAAAGTAAACTAAATAATCCAAGTGAGGTCTCACCAGGCAAGATATAGTTGTAGGATGACCTCGCTAGTCTTACAACTAACACTCATTTGTATGACCCTGAAAGTTACTAGTGTGCCCTGAAGAATGCAGTGATGGCTAGGGAGACACTGAGTAACACTGAGTCCGTTTATTGTGGATGAGAGAAATACAAGTGGTGACGCTGTGTGCCATGCGCGGCTCACACAGTCAGACTGAGGCTGCCTTGCCATATGGCAGCCTCGGGGCAATGTTGCCACATAACACGTGCAGTGGTGCCACGTGATAATATATATAAATGCTACTCGGCACAGTAGCTTATGTACAGGGTTGCTACTTGGCACAGTAGCTTATATACATAACCTACAGACCCCAAGTACTTTCATAGCCTTGTTTTGAGCAAATATGCATTGTTGTCATAGTTTGAGATTCCTGTTTATTATTCCCCTTAAATCTTTCTCACAGTAGGATTTATCTATATCAACGATGTTCATCTGATATTTGGTTTCTCTGTTTACATATCCTAGAGACTTAGACAAACTACTTTATATTTGTCCACATTAAATTTCATCTGCCATTTTTCAGACCATGCGGAAAAATTGTTTCGATTTTCCTGTAGTTTTGTGGAGTTCTCTTCAGATTTAATTACACGACCTATTTTAGTGTCATCAGCAAATTTTCTTATGTTACTGTCTACGCCTATATCTATGTCGTTTATGTATATAATAAATAGTAATGGTCCAAGCCTTGGGGTACTCCACTCGGGACGTTACCCCAATTGAATTCAGTTCCATTAATGCTAACTCTCAGTTTCTTGTCCTGCGACCACGCCTTAATCCAGTTTAGAACATGTCCATTTCCATGAGCATTCACTTTGCATATTAATTTTTCATGGGTGACCCTGTCGGAAGCTTGGTTAAAGTCGAGGTAAACTACATCATAATCGCGTCCGTCATCCACTGATTCGAAAACAGTTGAAAAGAATGATATTTATAAATTATAATCCACTGGACAACAACAAAAAAAGTCTACTACTGACGAAAATGCTGGTGTTCTTGAGTAAATCTGGGCCGTTGATGTCAAATCTGAAGTCAGAATTCAGCCATCACGTCAGGTTTTCAAGATATGTATAAGTATTAATGATACCCGCCATGCTATGTTAGACAGTACTTAGTAATTACTTTCACATCATATTTAGATAATACATAGTATACAACTCAAGAACATAAACATTAAGCACCGCTTGGAAGAGCTCAAAGGTGTGTGAGACACTTGCTCTTGTATTTGTGTGTGGAAATGGTCTCCCGTTGCAGGAACCAGCAGTAATCACCCATCATGTTTGGGTTAAACCGGCCTTGATACCTAGTTTCCATCACCGACATGTCTTGGTGGAACCTTTCACCATGCTCATAGTTTACCTCACCCAGATTAGGTAGAAAGAAATCAAGATGAGAATGCAAGAAATGCATTTTAAGAGACATCCTACAGCCCATTCGCTGATGGGCTTTTAGGATATTGTCCACTAATTCAGCATACTGTTCAGCTCTATTGTTCCCAAGAAAGTTCTGCACAACCAACACAAATGCTTCCCATGCTACAAACTCAGTGAGTTCAGTTTATTTTTGAACTCGCGATCACACATCAGTTCTCAGATCTGGGGCCCAACGAAAATGCCTGCTTTGAGTTTATCATCAGTTTTCCCTGCGTCAAACTTCTCTCTGAGATACTGGAAGCCATTACCGTCATGATCCATTGCCTTTACAAAGTTTTTCATAAGACCGAGTTTGATGTGAAGCGGTGGAAGGTAGACTTTCTGAAGGTCTACCAATGGCTTATGATCCACATTGTACCTGTCAACTGTGTGTTCATGTCTTTGAGGCCAGTCTTTTACAACATAATGATTGTTGTCGTCACGGCTGTTCCTTAGGCACAAGAAGCACATGTGTTTTGTATACCCCAGCTGCAGTCCTAAGAAAAGAGAAATAACCTTTAGGTCACCGCAAATGTTCCACTTATGACCTGAGTGATTAATCACTTTCAGAAGGATCTCCATCTACCTATACGTCTCCTTCATGCCGACAGCATGAGCTACAGGAACAGAAGGTTTTTTGTTACCTCTGTGTAACAACACAGCTTTGAGGATCACTTTGCTGGAGTCTCCAGTCATCAGGCACATGTTTGTTTCGTAGCTCATGCATGAGTCCATAACATCAGTGCAGAAGCAAATTTAATTTTCTATCTTAAAAAAGGCAATTAAGTTTGCGTGGCGATCACAGAAGAGGGAAATTTGGGTACCTTCCTGTAGGAGGTTCCATTGCTGTGGTCTGGAGCCTAACACTTCGGCCTTCACCTTTGACAATGACAGGTCTCTTACCAGATCGTTCAACTACTCTTGATTTAGCAAGTGTGGCTTCCTTTCCTCAGATTCAGCATCATCACATTCATCATCATCAGAGTTGTCATCGCTTTCAACTGCAGCAGTTGCTGGGGGAATCGGCATACGCGAATCCAAGTCATTGGGGACCGTCTTCAGAGCAGACTTACATTCTGGATACACAATTTTTTAATTGTTTTTCTTTGAGAAACCAGCAATATTTGTCATAAGAAAGTAGCAGTCAGAGTGATGATTCGTTGGCTCACGCCATACCACTGGCACAGCAAAAGACATTCCCTTCCTTTTGCCACCCAACCACTGCGTAAGCCCCGAATTACACACGGTGCAGCAAACATGAGGTGCCCAGCTCTTATTTTGGTCTCCAACTTTACATCCAAAATTATACTTGTAAGCAGTTTTCACTCTGTCGGCAAGGTTCTTGTGCTTGTCACATGGAGTGTGTTTTCCACAGATATAGCAAAAGTTATCAAGGTGATTCACATAGCCTCGTCTATTCATGATGTCTGTAATACCATAGGCCTAATCTGAAAAAAATATATTAAGTTATACCCTGAAAAGATATAGATATTATTATTTTGAAATAAATTTCAAACTAGATGCATTCTTAAACGGTATACATTATATTTAAAACCTTTAATATCAAGTTATTAATCCAATTCTGCTGGGTTGGTGCTAGGCAGCACAGTGTAATTTGATCACATTAACTTAACATCCTGACGTGCTGGGAAAATTATGAACTTAGATTCAGAATCAGCATACTTGATTTAGTCTAGAACATATGTTTTTACACCAGTAGCAAAATCTTTGTTATCTATTATGATAGATTTGTCAGACATGAGCGCCCACTTGTTAAGCTATGCTGGGAGTCATTGTTCAATTTATGCTTCTCGGGTGATTTCGAATTCAGTTTGAAATTATTGTTTCCAATAGTTTCCCTACAATTGATGTTAAACTAATTGGACGGGAGTTTGAAGATAATGATCATTTCCCTTCTTGAAAATTGTATCATATTCGCTCTGAACCACCGACATCTCTCTACTGTGTGCCTAACATGAGTATGAACAGGAATAAGTGACTCTTAGAGACAAAAGTTTTAAAAACATAATTATTGTTATGATGAACTACTTCATCAGTGTGTTTAAGGAAGACTCTGGTCACCAGATGTCGCAGGCCATCAGTCAGTCTGGGGGTATACAACTCGCCGGTCTTAGTACAATAGTATGTGGAGTCCTGTGAATAGTCCTGGTCGGGAGGTGGAAAATCTGGTGGGCGCCAAAGTAGAGGCAGTGAAGTCGACATCTGGTCACCTGTCTCCTAAACCATAAGTATCGAGTGTTAGTGAACTCTTACTGCTCCAGACTCCTGAGTTATTATATATTATAGTGTGATGGTTAGGATTTAATGGTCATTTATTATTACTTGTCAATTTTCAGATTTATTTTGTGTTGTATACATTTTGTATAAAGTTCCGTCATCGCCTTTGGTTATACTTTTGTAAATAAATAATAAGTTTGAACATTTAATGTAATTTTCCTTATTAAATAGGTTAAAGAAATTGTTATGGGAGGAGCTGGCTAAAAACTGGCTTTGTATTGTAACATTATATATACCATGTTACGACAGCCACCACAAAACAGTTACTGCACCTATACTCAAAACCTGAATGGATATTTGTACTTATAGTATTGAGTATTATGTAAGAAATACTGTGTGTGTGGGGCACTAATCTCATCATTTTTTCTGGTCAACACAGGTGTGGGATGATGGCAATGCGTTAATCAACAACGGTTTCATTACCTCGCGCAAAAGGTCCCTCCTTCCCGCTGACCGCACGCGCCGAGCCTTACCTGTCGACCCACTGGGTAGGTAGCCACGAGGAGTTGCTTGGTAGTCCTTGGTACCCATTGGTTAAATAATAAGATATACTTTTTATTGGAGCATGATATTATTTAAATAGTGTGGGATATCTTAGATAAATGATTGATTTCAAATATTTCTTAGTACGGTATATGTTAGGTCAATGGGTGTGTTGCTGATAAAGTGCTAATGCGCACGGCATAGCATACATCTCACCACTATGTCAGGGGTTTGACCCTCGGCCTAGATAGACCTTACCAAACATCACAGGTTTCCCGATCCCCGGTTTTATCTTATATTAACAGTGGACAGATCAACCGCCTGATCGGCGAAAAAAAAATTCCTTTCTTTTATATTTCTGTCTATATTTCAAAATGGAGTATATCTTAGTTAAGTTAGATATCAAACAAATATTGAAAAATAAAACCTGATATCTCAGTCATAACTGCTCCAGAGATTTACTTATACCGTATATGAACTAAAACTTGTGGTGATGTGACAGAGAGAGGCGATTACTGTTGTGGGAGTGTGGTACCCCTAGACCCAGCCGCAGCCACCCCTACAGGTGATTTCTTCCGCTTTGCTTCAGGAGGATCAGTCCAGGTGAGACAACACGTAGAATGTCAACTCTGTATAATTAAACCAACATGAATGGAGTGCAGAGTCGGATCGAAGCTTATTGCCTATATTAACTAATACTGAATTTCCAGATAAATCCTAAACCTTCCCCCTTACTAAATATCTCTTGAGGTACAGTAGACATTACTAGTGAGTCTGTGTATACAGGAGACGTTACTAGTAAGTCTGTGTATACAGTAGACGTTACTAGTGAGTCTGTGTATACAGGAGACGTTACTAGTGAGTCTGTGTAGACAGGAGACGTTACTAGTGAGTCTGTGTATACAGTAGACGTTACCAGTGAGTCTGTGTATACAGCAGACGTTACTAGTGAGTCTGTGTATACAGGAGACGTTACTAGTGAGTCTGTGTAGACAGGAGACGTTACTAGTGAGTCTGTGTATACAGGAGACGTTACTAGTGAGTCTGTGTATACAGGAGACGTTACTAGTGAGTCTGTGTATACAGGAGACGTTACTAGTGAGTCTGTGTATAGTGAGATACAGTAGACGTTACTAGAGTCTGTGTATACAGGAGACGTTACTAGTGAGTCTGTGTATACAGGAGACGTTACTAGTGAGTCTGTGTATACAGGAGACGTTACTAGTGAGTCTGTGTATACAGGAGACGTTACTAGTGAGTCTGTGTATACAGTAGACGTTACTAGTGAGTCTGTGTATACAGGAGACGTTACTAGTGAGTCTGTGTATACAGTAGACGTTACTAGTGAGTCTGTGTATACAGGAGATACAGTTACTAGTGAGTCTGTGTATACAGGAGACGTTACTAGTGAGTCTGTGTATACAGGAGACGTTACCAGTGGGTCTGTGTATGTATAGTAGACGTTACTAGCGAGTATGCGCGTACAGGAAACGTTACTAGTGCGTCTATGTGTGTACAGTAAATGTTACTAGTGCGTATGTGTGTACAGTAGACGTTACTAGTGAGTCCACAGTATGTGTGTGTAGTAGACGTTACTAGTGAGTCCACAGTATGTGTGTACAGTAGACGTTACTAGTGAGTCCACAGTTGTGTTCTGACCTCACTAGGGGAAAGGTCACGGCAGGGTTAGCTCCGGAGGGATAATTATCAGCTATGGCCAGTGCTATGTGCGGTCTTGGGTAGGAGAGTTTGTTGACCAAACTGGGGTGGTCCATTGAAGAATTGGCGAGGGCCAAGTTAGAAATTGAGAGGGCCACGTTGGAGAACCTGAAATTAAGGAAAGAGCTGGCGAAGTTAAAAGCAGAGACTGGACGAGTAAAGCCAGTGTCTGACGAAAAATCAAGCGAGTGGAAAATTGTGAGTAATGGGAAGACAAAGCTGGTGGTGAAGAAGCACACGAAGGATACGACAACAACGACAACAACAGCTAAGTGTACCAACCCGTTCAGTCCCTTGATAGACGAATTGGACGTTAGTACAGTCAGGGGCAGGGATGACAAGGAAGGTATAAAAACTTTAATTGTTGGTGACTCACAGGTAAGGTACATGGACAGGGCCTTTTGTGGTAAAAACAAAAATAGGATGAGGGTGTGTTTGCCAGGAGCTGGGGTGGGGGATATAATTGACAGGATGGACAATATCTTGTCTGGTAATGAGAACAAACCCATTATCTGCCTCAGTGCAGGAGGCAATGATATTGGCCAGTGTAGGAGCGAGGAACTTCTTCATAAGTTCAAGGCAGCCATAGATCGTATTAGGACTAAGGGAGGGATCCCTATCATATGAGGTGTCCTGCCTAGAAGGGGAGTTGGCAGTGAATGGTTGTCAAGGGCAGTTGGTGTCAACGACCGTCTTGACAGATATTGCAAGTCAATATCAGTCCCATTCATTGACAACTGGGACAACTTCTATGGCAGAAGGGACCTTTATGCTAGGGATGGAGTGCACCTGTCAAGGGATGGAGTAGCAACCCTGGCTGGGGCTCTAGAGGGGGCAGTTCAAAAGATATGGAAGTCTTTAAACTGCTAAGAGAACATATGGGCACGGGGGTGGAGGAGACTGCAGTGGGAGCAGGTAAACAAGGCGAAAGATTACAGGGAAATAGTGTTAGGAATGATGACAAAACTAAATTAGACAGGCAGTTTAAAACTAAACGCGGTAAGGGGAGGACTCAGAACACGACTAACTTAAATGTATACTACGCGAACAGTAGAAGCATGAGAAACAAAATGGATGATATTAGGGCCTTGGTATGTACCGAAAAAATCGATATAATTGCATTCACTGAAACATGGATCAACCTAGACACACGTGAATTACCAGTCGAATACCAAATTGCGGGTTACAAACTGTTCCATACCGATAGGCAGACCAGGAAAGGAGGCGGAGTAGCAATCTATGTTAGGGATAATCTTAAGTGTGAAATAAATAAGGAAATAAAAACTGAGAGGAATAGAGAAACAATTTGGATAGAATTAAGCAACGGTCGGGAAAAATTAATCACAGGAGTAATATATAGACCCCCCAATCTTGATAGCATCAATGAGCGACTTATCTGGGAAGAAATGCGCAGGGCTTCCATACACAACAAAGTCTGTATAGTAGGCGACTTTAACCTTGGCCAAATAGATTGGACTGACCATACGGGAAACTCAGAATCAGAGGATTTTCTCGAGACGATCCAGGACTGTTTCCTAAGTCAACATATAACCAAACCCACACGGGGTAATAATATACTGGAATTAGTTCTGTCGAACAGAGAAAACCTCATTAGCAATGTCGAGGTAGGGAACAAACTTGCAAACAGCGATCACAAAGAAATTCGATTCCAGTTAGATTTTCAGGGCAGACGTAAGGAAAATTCCACTAAAGTACCAGATTTCAGAAGGGCAAACTTTGACAGTTTAAAGAGGCAGCTGAGAGAGGGGGTGTCGCGCTTGGCCGTGAACCTGACAGATGACACCGACCTCATAACGAGATCTGAGATTGCCGAGTTCCACGACAATTTAAATAGTGAGTTACTTAATGCACAAAGGCAGAACATACCATACAAAAAACTCAGATCAGACAAAAACGACCCTAAATGGATAAATAATTATTTAAAGAACATCATTGGCCAAAGGAAGGCTATAGGTAGAAGGATAAATCGTGGCGAAATTCACCTCCGGGACTATTATAGGGTATTGGCAGTAAGGTTAAAACCGAGATAAAGGAAAGCAAAGAGGAAAAATGAGGTAAGGATAGTAAGGAGGCGAAGACAAACCCCAAAGGATTCTACCAAATGTATCAAACTAAAACACGAGAAAGATTTTTCAACAGTGAGCAATAATTTGAATAAATATTTTTCAACAGTTTTCACCGAAAATTTAAACATGATACCCGAGGCACCGACTCTATTCAGAGATAGTGAAGAAAACAAATTAAGTGAGATAGTAGTGACTAGTAACGATGTTAGTAAGCAAATAGACAAATTAAAGCCTAATAAGTCACCTGGTCCCGATGAGATATTTGCCAGAGTATTAAAGGAATGTAAGGAAGAGCTTAGTATGCCCTTAGCAAAGTTGTTTAACATGTCCTTAAAAACAGGTGTAGTACCAGAATCCTGGAGGATAGCGAATGTAATACCGATTTTCAAGAAGGGGGATAGATCACTATCCTCTAACTACCGCCCAATCAGTCTAACATCAATAGTAGGCAAATTACTGGAAGCAATCATTTCAAACTCTATTCGAAATCACCTGGAGAAGCACAGATTGATCAATGATTCCCAGCATGGCTTCACAAGCGGACGTTCTTGCCTAACTAATCTATTAACATTCTTTTCATCAGTTTTCGAATCGGTGGACGAGGGGCACAATTATGATGTGGTATATCTCGACTTTAGTAAAGCCTTCGACAGAGTCCCCCACGAAAGACTAATTAGAAAGGTAGAAGCTCATGGCATCAAAGGTGACATCCTTAAATGGATTAGGGCGTGGTTACAGGACAGGAAACAGCGAGTGAGCATTAACGGCACTAAGTCCCATTGGAGCAACGTCACAAGTGGAGTTCCCCAAGGCTCAGTACTTGGACCATTATTGTTTATTATATACATAAACGACATAGATATCGGCATAGACAGCAACATAAGTAAATTTGCTGATGACACTAAAATAGGACGTGTTATCAAATCTGACGAGGACTCGCAAAACTACAGGAAGATCTAAACAAATTTTTCGAATGGTCTGAAAAATGGCAGATGAAATTCAACGTGGACAAATGTAAAGTACTCAGTATAGGAGATGTAAACAGGGAAACCAGATACCAGATGAACAACGATGCCATAGAGAAATCCGACTGCGAGAGAGATTTAGGAGTAATGATAAGTAGGAACCTTAAGCCAAGTAAACAATGTGTTTTTGCTCGTAACAAGGCTAATAAAGTACTTGGGTTCATACAAAGGAGTGTTAGTTACAAGACTAGCGAGGTCATCCTAAAACTGTATCTTGCTCTTGTGAGACCACACCTGGATTACGCAGTTCAGTTCTGGTCACCTATTACAGAATGGATATAGAATCCTTGGAAAGAATTCAGAGGAGAATGACAAGACTAATCCCGGGCATTAGGAACCTTGAGTATAGAGACAGGTTAAAGCATCTTAATTTGCACTCCCTTGAGAGACGTAGAGCGAGGGGCGACCTGATAGAGGTGTATAAGTGGAAGGCAGGGCTAAACAAAGGGGACATTACAAAGGTACTCAAACTATCCAACCAGGAGCGAACTCGTAACAATGGTTTTAAATTAGACAAATTTAGATTTAGGCGTGAAATAGGTAAACACTGGTTTGGAAACAGAGTAGTGGATGAATGGAACAAGTTACCAAATATCATCATTAACTCGAATACGCTGAATAGCTTCAAACATAGGTTGGATGCTCATATGAGCAATAGGGGTTGGGTGTAAACGGGACTGCCCAGTATGGGCCAATAGGCCCGCTGCAGTTTCCTCCATTCTTATGTTCTTATGTTCTTATGTATGTGCGTACAGTAGACGTTACTAGTGAG